CACCTTAGATGAAATAGGGTGAATACATCTCATATTACTGATTTACTGGTAGTCTCGAAACTCTACTATAATATAAAAATGACTAGTCTTAGCTGTAAAATTCTCCTTCCGGCAATTTAAATACGTCCAGCGAAGCCGGATTATCTAAACGAAAGCTAGATCCAGATCTACACTTGACTAGCACTATTGCAATTTTCAAGCAATAATACAAAGAAGTAGAAAATAGCTTATTCACCCGATGATAATAACCTTAAGGCAACCAAGGTTTAATGGGATAGCTCTGCTCGATTTTATCCTCCTGACTACGATCATAACCAAAATAATAAAGATTGTGCTAGATTAAAATCAAATTTGCCTCATTCCATCAGAAAGGTATCTTCGACTGCGTTGAAATAGGCTAGCAAAACAATTGGAAGCGGGCTCTTTTGATGGATAACCGCTTCTTATGCTGCTTTCGGCAGAGACATTCGAAATGTGGTTTCGGAAACCGATTGCAGGTGGAGCAGCGAAAAATATTCCTGTGAGGCGCAAACAAGCATCGGCAATAGGGTGTAATCTGTCAAGAACCACAAGATGGCGCGACTTCTGCACGCGTGCCATATCGAAGCCAATGTAGACGAAGGGAGAAGTGATGGCCACTGCAGAGGGAAGTTGGGAATCTTCAGTCGAGTGAAGGACAGAATGAAATGCTCTCTGAGTGGCAGTAGATTCTAGATGATATTGAATTGGATCAGGTTTTCGTAAGACCAGGCGGCTAAGATGGCCAAATGAAGTGGAGACTTGGAGTGGATAGAACTGATCCCAAATAAAATAGGGAATCCATTAGTGAGAAGCGAAAGTAGAACTAGTAACAAAATGTAGTGGTAAGAGAAATATGATTGAGGAGTGTATATAGATGGAGTAATAGAAGAAAATTCATCCGAAATATGAATAAATAAGAAAAGATTTTGAAAAAAGAAGAATAAATTGAGCTAGCATAGCCAGAAAAATGCGTTGACAATCAGTAATTAAGGAAATTTAAGTAGTTAAAGAAATGAGTTTACCTTTTTGTTGCAACTTGGTCTTGATATCAGGGAGAATTAGTAGAACACACCTGCTATGCAACCCGACCCCCTCTATTTCGATCGGCTGATCCGACTCGGGCCTCCAATACCGATCCCCTCATTGTCTCATGGATCCGTTCATTATCTTTCTGGTTGACCGATTTCACTCGGTTCAAGCCCCTGTGTGAGTTTTACTCCAGGCGCTATTTCTCAAGGCCCTAGAAGCACGTACACTGCCGCCTCACTGAGCAGAGCGTCTAGGCTCTGAATCCCATGCTGGCAGATATCAGGCATTGCCTTCACGGGTCATCTTCTCGATTAAATCCGTGTAACCTGAGCAAACTGTGGACGTCGATCTCTGGTCGCATGCTGCATCTCAAGTGGATTTCTAGTACATTTTGGCCATAACGTCGAATTTCTGTGACAGTTTGCTTATCCGTATGCCTAGATCCCTGACTTTCAGGCCCCCAAAGTTGTACTGGTTTATTCGAACGGAAATCACTCACTGACAACGTCTTCGCCTAATTGCTAAAAATCCCCGCTTCCACCTTCCTCATCGCGATCCCTTTTCCTCCGGTTAGCGATTAATCCCTTTTTGCTGGTTTTGCTGTATTCTTGTTTTCCCTGACCTAGCTTTAAGCAGTAGGCAGAGTTATCGTTAACTCTATCTTCCTCCAATCTTTTGTTCATTAGATTTTTCTTCCCAAGGATATTAATGTCCTGCATAATCATCCGCTTTTTTGTGTTTTCACCGTATGAGGCCTTTCTTTCTAGTGCCTTCCAATTGATCTCGTGTCAAGTCTGTACGATGTGCTTCGGTAAGTCTGATCTTTTGGTATCCATTTTCCTGCAGAGTCTTTGATGTTCTTTGATTCGTATGCTATTTTTTCTGCATTTTTTGCCAATATATTTCTTTTCGCAGGCGCCACATGATATACAGTAAACTCCTGAACGATCCAATCTTGCCATCTGAGCTTTTTGAACTGTAGTAAACGTTA